GAGGACGCAGCGGTGTTGCGACGGCGGCGGGACGCGGCGCTCCTCGTGCCCCGCGGTAGGTACGGCCCGCCCGGCCCGCGCCGCCCCCGGCCCTCCCCGCCGCCCACCCCGCCGTCCACTCCTGGGTCCGCCCCGACGTCCCCAGCGCTGTCCGCCGCGCTGTCCCCACTGTGGCCTGCCGCGCCGTCGCTACCTCAGTGCCTTCGGAATCCGGACATTCTAGTGCGCGGCTCGGGTCCCCTCCGCGCCCGCTCGCGGGTCACGTGGGAGCGGGGCCGTTCTGGGGCGGGCGAGGAGCGGGACGGGGGACGGGCAGGACGCGGGAGAGCAGCCGGCAGGGACGGGGGACCTGCAGAGTCCCGGCACCGGGGACAGAGGCCGGGGAATGGATGGGGCGGGGGGCGGGGCAGGGACAGGACGCCGGGCGTGGCGAGTGAGAGTGGTTGGAGGGAAGGGAGGGTGGCGGACGTCGCGCTGTCGCGCAGGGCGCCCCTCTGCGGCGACCCGGCACCAAGCCGAAGCCTGAGGATCAGCCGGTTGGCGAGGATGGCGGGATGCAGGGCAGGATCGTGGTCACATCTGAAGCGCCGAGTTCTCTCCCGGAGGAGAGGCGGGCTTAAGGCACCGCCGAGGGCAAATAGCTGTCCCTTTATCCCCGATACTGCCGCGTTCGTGACTTGCTAAGCAGATGCCGAACGTAAACTTTAACTTTGCTTCTGCCATTTTAGAGTGATTGAAATAGGCGAAACCTTTGTAGAAAATGTATGAATAAAATCTAAGAACATAAAAGAAAGAAGGAAAGTGCAGGTTGAAAGTGTGTTGTGGAGCAACGCTTGCTTTTTCGAAGTATGCTTGAATTTGAACCAAAACTCGCTTGAGTGTGGTGCTTAAAGTTCATGCGAGTGGGATGAGCGATCACACATACAGATAACCCACAGTGTAACTGGGACCGATGGAATCTTTTTGCCTGAAGGGTTTTTGATCAGTGGTGGCTTCGACCGGTCTAGTCTGATGTGAATGGGAGACAGCGTGTGTAAAAAAGTAGTTATGAAAAGTACGATGTTCGTCTGTAGTTGGAGTCTTGTGCATGCATTTTGACTAGAGAGATCATAGGTGGTGGTGGTCACATACCGATGTTTTGGGTAGATGGAGGCCCTGCTTAGAAACGCAGTGGTCCTAAGGTCCTTAAGCATAGATCTGTACTTAGAAAGGATAGGCAGGAAATGAAGTCATTTTAGGCTATTTTAGGCATCTGGTTGAGAAATGGGAGGAAAGAGGTCTGGATCATTGGCTTCAGAGGATAGCAGTTAAGGCAGTTTTTAGCTTGAAGTTGTCTTGGGATTTTGACGGGTTTTTATTTGCAATCAAGTTTGCAATGTACTGTTGCCGCATTGGTGGTTCCCATACTCCGGGAAGGTAAAGCTTATTTTTTCCACTTTGTACCAAATCCTTTGACTGTTGCCAATCTGCTATTCAGAGGCAGCAGATTGATGAAGGTCAGGTGACTAGGAAGGAGTTTCCCTGTGAGTTGAGCCAGACTTTCTGAATTATAATGTCTGGAAGTTGCTAAAAGAAAGTCCTGTGTCCTAATAGTTGGGACATTCACTTAGTTCTTGGTTTACATTATAGTAAATTCCTGATGATTTACTGGTGTTGTCATCTTGATAGCTGCTCATTAAGTCAATTCCTTGCACGGTTTCACAGGTGGAGACAACTGAAGCCCAGAGAGATTAAGTGATTCGATAAGTTTACTCAGCTAAAAATCTCTTGAGCTGATTTCACCCAGGAAAAAGCTTCAGAACCTGTGCTGGTGACCATTGCTGTGTTGCGGCTCAAGATAAATCATTTCGAAAATTAGATTTTGTAGGAATTGAGATTTTTTTCTTAAAAGGATCATCATCTGACCATTTAAAATATGTTTTTAAACTGTGTGTGTGCCTGTGTGCTGGTATGTGCACATGAGTGTAGGTGCTTGTTGAGGTTAGAAGACAGTGTCGGGTTCCCTGGCAGTAGTGGTTGTGAGCCAGCCAACAGAGGTGCTGGGAACCAAACCTGGGTCTCTGCAAGAGCAGTGCATGCACTTAAGCATAGAGCCATCTCTCCAGCCCCTGAATGACATGAGCTGGACAAGGACAGCACTAGACATAACAAAAGTGGATGGGGAGAGTGAGAACTCACATGAAGAATTACAGGCTACTGAGGGGTGCCTCTGAGAAGAGCATACTGATGGGTTATCAAATACCACATGGTCAGTCTGGAAAACATACATACAGACTGAGCAAGTTCTATTTAGGAGTATGTATGCATATACATATATGTGTGTAACAACAGTTAATGAAAAATGTGTGACTTTGGGAGAAAAGGAGTGGAATGTGGGAGGGTTTGAAGAGAGGAAAGGGAAGGGAGAAATGATGTCATTATAGTATCAGAAAATAAAACTATTAAAGTACACATATTTTCAAAATTATCCCTAAATGGGCATGATAACAAAAGAAATAAAAGGATCTCCTTAGGAAATGTTATTTTATGCAGGAGTTGGATATTTTGAGATATTTCATCTTCTGGAACAAACAGTTGAAAAACAAGTTCCTGTGTACAGGTGGGTAGGGAAGCTCAGTTGGCTGACCAGCTACTCTTTGCAGTGGTGAGGAGGAGGATGTACAGATGTGAAAACAGAGCACCCTGTCCCTCGGATGATCCAGTGGGCATTCTGTATGGAATCTTGTGTCTTAGGATGGCTAAAATGTGTGGATAGAAGTCACCTTGCCCTCCCCAGAGTGGTTGCCTACAGTAGACCAGGGATGTTGGAAGGGCTGCTCACGTGTTACAAACCTTCTATAATTGCCTGTTTCATGATTGTTCTTATAAAGTAAAGTATTAGTGTGCTTATTTTTTGGAAACTACAATAACAGTGAAGGAATAGGGGGACACTTATAGTCGAGAAAGAAAAGTTCTTGCTCAAAATGAAAGGATAAAATCCTGACAGTTGTTAAAGGTTGGGGCATTCTCTCCTCTCCGTCACTGGTATTTTTTTTTTCTGTTAAAGTACTTTTTTTTTCCTCCCATGATGTCCAACTAATCCATCCTTTAAAAAAAATATTTCTTCTGGGGCTGGAGAGATGGCTCAGCAGTTAAGAGCACTGGCTGCTCTTCCAGAGGACCTGGGTTCAAATCCCAGCACCCATATGGCAGCTCACAACCATCTGTAATGAGATCTGATGCCCTTGTCTGACCTGTAGGCTTGCATGCAGACAGAACGCTGTATACGTAATAAATAAATAAATCTTAAATCTTTCATGATGCTCTAACAAATCATTGCCTCCTCCAAAGAGTTTTATATTTTTTTCTTTTTTTCTTTTTTGGTTTTACGAGACAGGGTTTCTCTGTTTTGGAGGCTGTCGGTCCAGCCTGGCCTCGAACTCACAGAGATCCGCCTGCCTCTGCCTCCCGAATGCTGGGATTAAAGGCGTGCGCCACCAACGCCCGGCTATATTTTTTTCTTAATTTTTGCTTAAACGGTACTTTTGGGAGTGTGCCACTAGTATTTTTGATGTGACCTGTTTACCCTGGAATGTGATGGACCCCAATCTGGTTCCAGCCACATGCTTTCCCTCTTTACAATACAAGCCTGAGTGGTGATTTGTATCTGTATGTGGTTCTGACCCTTCTTAAAATTTTAAGTTTTAGCCTTTAATCCCAGCACTCAGGAGGCAGAGGCAGGCGGATCCCTGTGAGTTCGAGGCCAGCCTGGTCTACAAAGTGAGTTCCGGGACAGCCTCCAAAGCCACAGAGAAACCCTGTCTCGAAAAACCAAAAAAAAATAAAAAAATAAAAAAAAATTTTAAGTTTTAATTTTTTAGCATTTGTAATGTTTTGTGACCTTCTTTCCTTGATGACGTTCAGTCCATTAAGGAAATAGCCAATAGGTGGCTGCAGCTCAGTGCGGGAGCTAGTGAAGGAGGTGTCCTTCTTGTCCTTAGATAGGGGTTACAAGGGCTGTCAGGATGGATGACCCAGGAACTGCTGTTGAGTTTTGAGAGATGGTACCAAATTGCTTTTAAACAGACAAATAATTTATCACTCTATTGCAATTATCAATTCTTAAAAATAAGTTATAAAAAGTTGACTTTTATATGGTCTTTCTAGTTGTGAAGTTAATAACAAATGTTTACCACTTGAATTTAACTAATACTTTTTAAAATTTTCATACTATTTCATAAAATTTTCTTATACTATTAGAAATAACCTAAAAATTATGTTTGTGTGGTTTTTTTTGTGTGTGTTGCTTGTACAGTAGAGGTCAGAGGGCAGCTTAAAAGAAGTCAGTTTTCTCCTTCCATGTGGTTCCTGGATCTGTCTGGCTTGGCAGCAAGCACCTTAACTCGCTGAGACATTTTATTGGCCCTAAAAATACTTGTGAAATAGTTACAAGTTCACAGAAGAGTCACAGATACAATACAAAGAAGTCCTCTCCCCCAGTCATTTGAGATGAAGTTGTCAAATGAAATAGATCATCATTCCCAAATGGTTTTTGCAAGCAGGAACATTCTATATACCTGTAATACGTTATCAAAACCAAGAGGGCAATATATTTTTAATTATTCAGACTCTTGAAGATTTACCTATCACTCCAGTAATGTCATTTGTAGAAAAGAAGATGAAAGTTAGAATGGCATTGTTTAGTTATCTTTAGGGTCCTTCACTCTGGAATAATTCCTTAGTTTTTTTCCTTTTATGGAACTAATTTTTTTTTTTTTTTTTTTTTGGTTTTACGAGACAGGGTTTCTCTGTATTGTTTTGGAGGCTGTCGGTCCAGGCCAGCCTCGAACTCACAGAGATCCGCCTGCCTCTGCCTCCCGAGTGCTGGGATTAAAGGCATGTGCCACCAACGCCTGGCGGAACTAAAATTTTTTTAGCCACAATAATTTTGTGTTTGTGAGTTTGTATATTTGCACAAATGTGTAAGTGTGTATGTAAGTTAGAGGACAATTTGCAGGAGTTGGTTCTCTTCTATAGGGATTGAACTCAGGTTGCCTTGGTTGGTGGCAGGTACCTTACTAGCCCTCATGGTTTTATTTACATAAAAGTCAAATAATTAACTGCTTTATGTTTGGACAGTACACTTCTTATTTCAACCAAAAGACAAAATTGCAGTTTTACTCAAAGGTGCAGCTGTTAAATACAGAAAGTGATGAAATTTCTCAGGACATTATTTCTAAGCAGAATAAAGGAGCATACAAGTGGTTGCTTTGGCCATATTGTGTATCCTGCGCTACCCGGCCCCCCTCCCAAGTTTCAGCCCCTTCCCCAGTGCAAGCCACAGGCTTCTCTCATGCTCTTGAGGTTCTGGTGGCAATGGTAGACTTAACCTCATATTTCCCCCCTCAACTTTTATTTATTCTTCACAGATTTCTCATCATTCTGATCCTACCCTGTTGTCTCATGTCTGCCCTCTCCCCCCAAATCAAAACCACATTTAAAAGAAAAACCCCACAGAAACAGAAGGAATCGTCATCGTCATCTTGTCGTGAAAGCTGTAATGTGGCCCAATGAGACACACAGTTTACCCTTTAGTTCCTTCATTTTCACATGCAAGTCTTCATTGCCACAAGTCATCCTTCTGGCTCAAGGCCTCTGGCCTCCACTACACCGATAATGGGTTCTCACTGGGGTTCCTCTTGGATATCCTGCTGTCCTGTGTCGTGGAGATCCTGCAAAATTCATTGTTCTGCAAAGAAAATGTATATGTGCAGCTATCACCAGAGTCTAATACTAGAACATTTCCAGTTCCCCACAAGTCTGTTTACTTATTGACCTCAGACAGCCACCTGCTGATCTGCTGTCACCTCCAGAGGCTGTTTTTCTGGACATTTCATGGAACTGGAGCCAGATGACAGAAGGGCTCTTTCATCCAACATCTTTTTACAGAGCATGATGTTTTTGCATCAACTCCTTTTCTCTGGACATAACACATTTGCTTATCCTTGCACCAATTGATGGACATTGAATTGTGTCCATGTTTCTAAAATTAGCTGCTACTCTTGCTTTCTTCCCCCAACCGCCACTGTCCTGTTCTCTGTCTTCATTTATTTTTTTGGAGACAGCATCTCACTATATAGTCCAATTTGGCCTTGAACTATGAGCTTCCTGTTTTGGTTTCCCAGGTGAGATTGTACCTGTGCTGTGATGCCGTGCTTATTAACAGACTTATTGTGAAGAGGTATATGTCCCAGTCTTTATCATGTTTGTAGTTTATATCAGTATGGCTTTGACTCTATATTCTATGGGGGTGTATTCTGTTACTACAGACCACCTCAAGAGCACTTTGTAGAGCAGAACATTTTAACAGGTTCACTAGTCTGTGACTTTGACATTTATAGGGACTGGGTAGATGGCTCGCCCTCTGCTGTGTTAGGGGATTGAGAATCAGCAGTGATTTGGTATCTGGGACCAAAACTTCCTGGAGGTGTCTTCACTCCATGTTGAAGGATGTGCACTTCTCATGTGGTCTCTTGAGTTTGTGGGCACAAATGTGGTTGGATTCCACGAGTATTCTTTAAGAGTGAGATGTGCTATTTTTACCATCTAGTCTTGGAGTTCGTTTGATGGCATTGTTCCCGCCATACTTGATTGGTTTGGCCTATTGCTGGAATTAAAGGCATGCACCACCACTGCCTGGATTTACTTCATTTTTTGAGGCAGAGTTTTGTTTAGTTTAAATTAGCCTCCAACTTGTGATCCTCCTGCATCAGCTTCCCAAATTTTGTGGTTACAGGCATATAACATTACCCTTATTCACAGATGATGTTTGAAAGTTGTCATTGTGCCTTCCACCAAAACAAAAAACAAACAGTTCCCTTAACTACCACTTACCATCTCTCTCTGACTGAAGGCAACTGCTGTTATCTCTAGATAGGTCTATTCTGTCACTTTATGTAAAAACGGAATCATAATTATATATAAATTTGTGTCTGGCTTCTCATCAGAATGTTTCTAAAGTTACAGCATGTATTGGCACTTCTCTTTATGGTTCAAAATACAAATGTACATAACTGTCTTATGTGGTGGACATTGGAGTTGTTTTTGAATAATTCTTTGAATATCCTTGCCCAACTTTTTCTCTTGGGTGGAACTGTTAGCTCAGGGGGCGTCTCCATGCTTGTTCCCTTGAGGAATTCAGACTGCTTTCTGAATTGGCTGACCTGTGTGTCTTACCCTTGGCACTATAGTCCAGTTGTGGTTTCCCTGGCCCCTGCCAGTACTGTTGTTTTTTACCCTGACGAAGATAGGCAGCGTGCTTTCCTGTGCTTTGGAAAAGTATGTTTACATCCCTTGCTCATTCAAATTGAGTTGTTTTTGTTTGTAAAGGTATGTTTACTTTATGTGAGTATTTTATCTTCATGTATGTCTGAACATCACATATGTGCAGAATAGACAGTTGCCATGTGAATTCAGATAACTGAACCCGAGTCCTCTGCAAGAGTAACACGTACTCTTAAACACTGAACTGTCTCTTCAACTCTTCTGAGTTGTTTTTTTCTGGATATATCAGAAGTGTAATTTGAAAAAAATCTCCCCCCATTTTATGGAAATTTTGCTTTTTTTGATGGTGCCCCAGAGACATTAATTTTGTTAACGTCTGCCTAATATATTTTTTCTTTTGTTGTGGGTGCTTTTTTGGTGCTGCTTGTATCCAAAGCCATCAAAGTTTATGCCTAGGTTTTTATCTAAGAGTCAGTAGTTTGGCGTATGTTTTCATGCCAGGGTTATGATGCAGTAAGGAGAGTCAAGTGTCATTCTTTTGCATGTTGGTTGTATAGTTTCCTCAGTACCACTTGCTGCCTGTTAAAATTCTATTTGTGTGTATTCATATTAGTTACAGTTCTTTCTTTTCTTTTTTAAGGAAAGTATCAAAAATGTTTCAAGTTCCTGTGCAGAATCTTGACAACATCAGGAAGGTGAGGAAGAGGGTGAAAGGCATCTTGGTGGACATTGGACTTGACAGCTGCAAGGAGCTGCTGAAGGTAAGTGTGCACAAGTGACAGATGAGGCCAGTAAGGCTGGAGGCGACATTAGAGAGTCGAGAATGGATTTTCTGATGCTTCTATGTCTGCATGGAGGCATCCTTAGAACTTGTCTTTCTAAGTGAGCTATGTCAGCTCTTCATGTTCTTCTGGCTTAGCTTCCTGAGTGATGGGGTACAGGAGTGTGCCACCATATCTGCTTTAGGAAGGGGCTTTTAGACTGTTTAGTTATTCTTTAAAAAAATTGGTTTGTTTGGGGTAATGTGCTGAATGATTTGTTTCAGCAAAAGAAGATGAATTTAATTTCCCAGTATTATTATTAGATATATCAAGTGGATTGCAAACATGATGTAAGGTTGATTTTTTTTTTTTTGTTTTAGACTGCTATATGAACTAAATATGTGCAGTCTTCCAAAAGTTTCAAAGTTAAAGTCATAGTCACAAGATTTATTGGCCAGTTTGCTTCTCAGTGGTTCATTGTCATAACATTGAGACTATGTGGATGACATACATAGTTAAAGAAATATTAAACAGGAGCTGGTGTCTGTTCATAGCCATTGCTTCATTCTAGGCTGTGGAAATAGAGGAAGTGTCTACTTTTTTTGTTGCTGTGGTTTTGTTTTTCAAGATAGGGTTTCTCTGTGTAGTTTTGGCTGTTTTGGATCTCTCTGTAGACCAGGCTGGCCTCCAACTCACAGAGGTCCACCTGCCTCTGCCTCCTGAGTGTTGGTAGAAAGTATCTACTTTTATATTTTATAGAAAATTTGGTTCAGAGAACTATGAATACTAGATAACTGTTCAGCCATTGAGCTATATCTCCAGGCCAGTTTCTTAATATTTGATTTCAGGCTTTGAATCAGGTTTTATTTATGATTGGTAATCTAGTAGAGAATAACTGTTCCTAACTGTAACAGTCTGTCTTTGCTTTAAACTAGGTGAGTAATTCTTGTAGAGACCCTAGCAGTTTCTGTTCCTTTCTCAGAGAGATCTGTGAAATTGGCGATACTTTATTACAGTGGTTGGTTTATTGCTTATCTTACGTCTCTCTACTCAGGTTCCATCCTATTTTGTTTTCAGAGAGAGACACTGCATTTCACTCTTGACCTGTTGGTGTGCTTTGTGGGTTTTGACATACATGTGCATGTTGTCTAAGTTCCTGTCAGGTCGTACAGCAATCCAATCACACCATAAAGTCCCTGTATGCCTTTTTTCAGTGAATCCTTGCCCTTGTACCACTGGTTATCTATTTCCAAAGTAGTTCACTACAGATTATATGTGCCTCTTGTACATTTTATGGAAAAGAAAGCTGTATGCTGTCTGTCTCTGGGAGATTTTCTGTATCATTACATTTGTGTTGGGTCCTGCCTGCTGCTAATATTCCATTATACAAATAAAAAAAATGCAGTTTCCTTACTCTTGGTGCTCAGACATTTAGGCTGTATCTGTTTTGTTTTTTTGGCTGTTTGGAATGCAGCCCTCCTGAGTGTTTTTGTTTGTTTTGGGAGGTTCTGGAGATTGAACTGGGTCTTGTGCAGATAAACCAAGGTCTCTGCCATCCCCTGTCCTAAGTTTGTTTGTTTGTGTTTGTTTGTTTGTTTTTGGGGGGGAGGGGAGACAGGAGGGTCTTACTGTTTGACCATGGCTGACTTGAAACTTGCCCTGGAATTCACAGAGCTCTGCCTGGCTCAGCCTCCAGAACACTGCACTCACCATTCCTCACTCAGTCCTAACCACCATTATGAAACTCTGTGGGTGTCTACTTTGACTTTAGAACGAAAACTTAGATGTGCAATTATGAGGTTGTTGTATGTTTACAATTATAGAAATGGCTGAATGTTTGTTCAAAGTAGTGTTCTGATTCTGTGCTCGAACAGTACATTGCTCCAGTTCTTAGGAATATGTGGTATGGTTTGTAAATATTTTGGGGTCTGTAATGTGTTGCCTTCCCTGCCATCCGTCTGGGCCGTGCCACAGTTGCAGTCCCTAAATAGCACACAAGACACTATATTAGTTATGAAGCTGTTGGCCATTTGCTTGGTTTCTTACTGGCTAGCTTTGACTTAAGTATTTAACCCATAATTGTTAATCTAAGTATTTCTCTTACTGGAGAAAAGGGTCCGGACCTCTTACTTTGGCGGCTTACGTCGTGCCTAACTCTGCCTCTTTTTCCCAGAGTCCTCCTTGACTCCTAGTCCCACCTATCTTGCTTCCTTATTGGCCAACAGTGCTTTATTGACATATATACAGGATATGTCCTTTTTTTGACGTTGGGGTATAGCTCAGGGCTTTTTGCATGGGCAAATTGTCTGCTCTGGACTATATTGATTCCCATTTGGAGATTAGGTCTCAAGTTTAGCACATTCTAATTTCAGACTCTAATCCTCCTGTCTCTGCCTTGAAAGTGCAGTGCTAATATTATAGTCATGTGTCACAAAGCACAGTTTTTACTGGTCCCTTTTGTAAGTCTTGCTTCTTATTTTTGTAGATTCTGGTTACTGGAATACAGTGTACCAGTAACCTGGTTCTCTGTAGAAAAGGTTTGCTAATCCCTGTTACTATTAATCTGATTGGGTTAAAACGTCATTTTGAAGCTTGTTTTTAATTTATCTTTCCAAGTTTTCACTTTTTTCTGCCTTTTTTTTTTTTTTTTTTTGTGAAGACAGCGTTGCCTGCAAGCTCTCTTTTCTCTGCTATATCGAGGAGACTCTATCTTGCAGCAAATTTCCTGGTTCTCTTAGCCAGATTTTCATTGTGAAGCATTTTATGTCTCCAGTGTTGTTAGGCAGATGGTCTCATTGTTTGCCACATGGAACTTACTGTGTAGATGAGGCTGGCCTCGAATTCACAGAAATCTGCTTGCTTTGGCTTCTGGAGTGCCAGGATTAAAGTCCTGCCCCTCCAGTGCCTGGCCTAACTAGACATCTTTGTTATAAAATTCTAGTGTCCGTTTTCTTTTCCTAGCTGGTGTCTTTGCACCCATGTTTCCAGCACTGAAATTCTGATGTATGGTAATGTGGTCTCACTTGGTTTGACTGGGTCTCCAGAATTTCCTGAACTGGAGCATATAATACAGTGGTTCTCAACTTTCCTAATGCTGTGACTCTTAATATAGTTCCTCATGTTGTGGTGACCCCAGCCATAAAACTATTTTTGTTGCTACTTCATAACTGTAACTTTGTTTCAGTTACTGATTGTAATGTAAACATCTGGTATGCAGATGGCCTTAGGTTGTTTGACTCTAAAGGTGTTGGAACCCACAGGTTGAGAACCTCTGGTCTATATATTTCACTGGGTTTGGAGGATGTAGTGACTTCTTTTTTCTGATGTTTATTCTCGTCTGTTCCTGAGACTCCATTTTCAGAGCTCTTTGGGTTTCTGCAGTTCCTCACTTGTTGTATCAAGGTTCCCAGGCCAAGTTGGGTATGATGGTTCATGCCTGTAACCCTAGCACTTGGACTTGGGAGGCTGAGGCGTGGGGATTGTTTGAGGCCAGCCTAGGCTACCTAGTGAGAGCCAGTCTATAAATAAATACATTTCCCAGTCTTTTCTTGTGTAGTTTCAAATCTGCTCTTAAATTCATAGAGCTGCAGCCTCAACCCCTTCAGGTCATGTTTTCTTTTTTAAATAAAAATGTCCTAAGAATTCTCTGTAACTCCTTATTTTACTTTTTACTTATTAAAAATTAAAGTGATCAGCCAGGTCATGGTGGTGCATACCTCTAATCCCAGCACTCGAAAGGCAGAGGCAAGTGAATTTTTGGGTTCAAGACTAGCCTAGAGTTTCAGAACAGCCAAGCCTACACAGAAACCCTGTCTTAAAAAACCAAAAAAAAAAAAAAGAAAAAAAGAAAAAAAATCCAAAACAAAAAACCCAACCCCCCAAATAAAAACAAACTAAAACGATCATAGATAAGAATGTTTTGCCTGCATCTGTATTATCTGTGTCACAGTCATGCCTGTACCTAAGGAGGCCAGATAGGGCACCAGAGCCTCTGGAACTACTAGATTTACAGGCTGCTATGAGCCACCATGTGGGTGCTGGGAATTGAACTAGGCTTTCTGGACGAGCGTTAGGGCTGTTAATCACAGAATCATTTCTCCAGCCGTCTTTTCTTTTTTACAATTTGATTTTTGTTATTGTATGTATATGTGCAGGTATATGTGGATGTCAGAGGACTTTGTGGGACAGTTTTCTCCTTCCACCTTTCCCCCTTTTTATTATGTGTTTTAGAATTTTAAACTATACTTTGTCTTTGAATCTTTTGCCTACATGTATGTATATGTACCGTGTGTGCATGTTGCCTATAGAGCTCAGAAGAGGGCATTGGATGCCCTGGAGCTGAAGCCACTAATGAGTGCTGGGAATTAAGAGCAACTGATCTTAACTGCTGAGCCATCTCTTCTGTCCATCTTTTTTTGAATGTTTATTTTTTCTTACATGTGTATGAGTATTTTGTATGTATGCTGGGAACCATTTGTGTGCCTGTGGTCTGTGAGGCCAGAATTCTGAGTGTGTGTCGGATTTGCCAGCACTGGAGTTAGAGACGGTTGTTAGCTGCCTTGTGTTGAGAAGCGAACCCGGGTCCTCTGGAAGAGCAGCAAGTACTCTTAACTACTGAACTCTCTCTCTCCAACCCTTCTCCTTCCACCTACCTTTACGTGCTCAGCTGTCTCTGGCACATACATTTGAGTTACCTATCATTGCTTGTGCTCCTGATTTGGGGTAATATTTTACTGCTGTTTGGATAGCTAAAATGTTTCGACTAGATACTGAACATTATGAGTTTTATGATTGCTGGATTTTGTGGTCTCTTTTTGTGCTGGCTAGTTTTATATCAACTTGATACAAGCTAGAGTTATTTGAAAGGGAACCTCAATTGAGAAAATGCATCCATAAGATCCGCCTGTAAGTCATTTTCTTAATTAGTGATTGATGGGGGGAAGGCCCAGCCCCTTGTTGGTAGTGCCATCCCTGGGCTCTATAAGAAAACAGGCTGAGCAAGCCATGAGTCAGGGTACTAGCATTGGTGTAGGTGAAGGCAGTTGTATTCCATTGGTCTGATTCAGCTAATTCCTTCTTGATTATTAAAGGTAACCTTTGGTTAGTAGTGTAAACTGTAAATGTTATAAAATATAACCAATTGTTGTGTAGAAAGTGAAATTTAAGTGCCACATTCAGAGAGGTTGACTTACAATACCCTGTTGAGGTTTTTTTCTTTGCTTGTAGGGTTTGCATATAGGGTGTATTCCCCATGCTTGTATTGCATGGTGACTTTGCTGGCTTCTTAGTTACCCTGGTGTTGTCAACTGGTCTACATTCAGGGCTCCCAAATATTGACTGAGGCTCATCTGGTCCTTAATGGACACAGGTTGTTTATCCTTTTGAAATGTCAGCTTTCAAAGTAGCTAGTGATTTTTCTAGATGGTGAGTCATGACACTCCTTTTCTTCAGGTTGTCCTGAGCCTGACTTTGGCCTTCCCATTTGTAGTAAATTTCTGTTCTCTGTGTTTTGATGCCAAAAGGTTACAGCATGCAGGTGGTTCTGTTGCTCAACAGTTCAGAGCACTGAGTGTTCTTCTAGAGGACACAGGTTCAATCCTCAGCATCTACCTAGTACAATCATCTTTAACTTTGATTCTGGGGACTGTGTTCTCTCCTGGCCTCTGGGCACCAGGCATGCATGTGGTACACAGACAAGCAGGCAGAGCACCTACAGGTAACATAAAACTAAAGAAAAAAGACAAGGAAACGACTTCTGTCTTAGAAAGAGAAGACACTGGGTATGTCTAGATCCTGGCTAACAGGTATACCCTCAAAGATGACCAAGGGAAAGAAAGAAACATTCTTCTTTATGTTCCACAAGCAGATTGGATAGTGGTAAAGTGCTATTGGAAAGGACTGTTGAGCGTAGACATTGGTTTTTTTTCTCTTTGACTTACAAAGCTACATGAGTTTTAGACTCTTATGTGCACCTAGGCTTTGCTTACATGTATAAAATGTAGATATTTTCTTTTGGGAGATCTCTGTTTATCTCTTGTAAAATGTAGTTGTAATGTGGATCATTTAAACCTTTTTCTTGATACTCATACTTTAAAGGTAAACATTTGTTAATGACTGTACTTCCTATTTTTCTTTTTGACCACAAAGATGTTTTAGGTGCCAGATTACTTGATCATGCATTTAATTTTGGTAGGAGGGGATTATACTTAGGGCCTTAGACGTATGAGGCAAATGCTTTACCATTGAGCCTCGTAGTCTAACCTTTTACCTTAGTTTTGCAATAAGGTATTGTTAAGTTGCCCAGGCTGGCTTTGAATTTTGGGATCCTTCTGTTTCAGTCTCCTGAGTAGCTGGGATTATAGGCATATTTCTGTAACTCACAAATTGTCACATAATGGTTTTTCTTTCTTTCTTCTTTCTTTTCCTTAAGGATCTTAAAGGCTTTGATCCAGGAGAGAAGTACTTTTATAATACATCATGGGGAGATGTTTCTCTTTGGGAACCTTCTGGAAAGAAAGCGGTATGTATTTTTGTAATATGTTTTCATTAGGGGCAAGTGAAGTAGCCTGATGCCACATACCATGGCTACTAGGACTGCTGGTCACTTGGAGGGTCTGTTCATGAGTGGGAAAGAAGCAGAGCTCAGAGTTGTTCATTGCAGGACTGTTGATGACAGTTTCCACATGCACAGTGTGGTGACATAGCCCAGCTTTGCTATTAGAAGTGACGACTGTATAAGAACCCTTGATGTAGTAATTCTGAATAAATGCTGTAGCATCCAGTCAGTAGGAGACTGTTTGTACAAAGGTGATTATTTAAGATTATAATGGAACCGAAAATACCTGTTGTCTAGGTCATAGTGTGATGTATTGAATTTTTGTGGTAATACTAATCTTGCAACCTGTTAAGATTACATAGAGAAGTGTACTGCAAAGCTGGGTAGTGGTGGCGGCACATGCCTATAATCCCAGCACTTGGAGGCAGAGGCAGGTGGATCTGTGTGTGTGTGTGTGTGTGTGTGTGTGTGTGTGTGTGTGTGTGTGTGTGTGTGTGTGTGTGTGTGTGTGGCCAGCTTTGCTACACAGTACACAGTGACTTCCAGCACAACCAGGGCTGTAAACACAGAGAAACCCTGTCTGAAACAACAACAACAAAAATCCTTAATAGTTAACCTTAGTTTAATATTTCACTTTATAAGTTTAACCTTTTTTACTTTTGAAAAATAAGGAATTGGCTTAAAATCCAAGTATTGTACGTCTGCATGAAAATATTCTTTTCTTATACCTGTATTTCATATGCTTTACCTTTTAATTTGTTGTGTTTATTTCCAAGTGTTTTGTTAGGTTTACTGTAGATCTATGTGTGCCCTTAGGACAGCAGCTTCATTTATCTTGTCTTATACTGCCACTTGATAACTTTCAGCTTTTCCTTATGCTTGTTTTGTTCACTGCAGCCCCTACATATACATAAAGACATTGCTAAGATTACCATTAAGAAGCCTGGAAACAAAATAAAAGTAACTAAATACTATGAAGATGGCAAATTGGTAATAGTTAACTGCTAACCAGTCAGGCATGTCTCATACCTGGATTCTACATGGGAATAAAGCGATGGTGCTATCTTCAGGAGTTCATGCAGTAAAATTGGAAAGATAGAATACTAACAGGCCACTATGCAAGGATGACACACATCAGCCATGAAACAGTTCATATTTTATAAGTAACATCAGACTCAGAAACACATATTGAATGTTTTCTTTCATATTGAATCTAGATTTAAAAGTTTTAAAGAGGATCTGAATTAGAAGGGGGGTCTATTTGAGTTAAGGGGCAGTAGTTTTTATACACAAGGTGTATTCACTAGGTGACAAGATCAGGAAGAAGGGGGTTAGAGACTTCCGGGGAATGATGATACCAGGTATTTTCTTTTAATGTATGCTATCTTTCTTAAAAGAACAGTAGAAAGAAGTTGTTAGAGGATCTATATTATTGATGACACTGAGATTTCAAAACATCCAGAAAGGCCCTGATCAGAAACCTCTCTCTTGTCATGACACCATGACAATCACAGCTGAACAAGTTTATTTGTGATGTTTACAAAAAGGTTGGATCAGTCTGGGTGTGATGTGGACACACACCTGTAACTCTAGTATGCAGGTAGTAGAAACAGCGAAATCAGGAGGTGAGTGAAACTGAACTATGAGACCCTGCTTCAAAAAACAAAAGCAACAAAAGCAGCCCATCCCCAAAGCAAAGCAAAGATCCGATTCGGTGTTAAATTTATTGCAAGCTTTGGGTATTTTAAGTGATCCAGGAGTCAATATTCATTATATAAAGTGGGAGTGGTAAGTCTATAAGAACTGGTATAAAGGCAGGGGAACATTTGGGGGGGGGGTTCTGTGGATCAGTTGTGGAGAAAAATTGTTTGTCAGAGCAAACCTTGAGTACAGGGAACCTCCCTTGATGGCACCTATGTGAAGTTCCGTGCTGCCTCAGCTCAGGGACACTGGCACTGAGCTTGTGCAGTGCCACGCTGGCGTGCAGCATCCTGCACCCTGCATCTGTAGGCTCGGATGCAGCTGGGAGGCAGATGATGGCTCACTTGAGTTTCCAGACTGACCAGGAACCCCAGTGTAGGCAAACTCAGAAAATGAACCTCTTCCAGCCAGTAGCAACCACATTGGCTAGCTTGTTGGCCAGAGGGTCCACTGCAGTTGTATTTGATGAAGATGTTGGTTTTTGTTGGAGTCATGTGATGCACTGTTGGTTTAGAAGACAAATATGGAAAAGAAAGTGTGGTTAATACCCCACTGTGTGAACAAGAAATTGCTGGTTTGGATGTGGAACTGGAATTGTAGTCTCTGGTGTTACTACTATTGCTGCAATCTAGTTTGCAGATTGTTGTCTTTGCTTTTGACTGGGTTGAAGGAAGTGTTCAAGTGCCACTGTAGCTCTAGGGATCTCTGAGCTGTGAGCCTGTGTTGACCACTGGGCTCTCTGAGTTCTGAAACTTATTTTTTTGCGTTGCTTAGTGATTAATGCAAAATATAGAATCTTTTTTTTTCTAGGTCTAGCAATTTCTTTTGTTATACATAGACTGTAGAAATCTATTTTTGGTTGTTTGTAAGCTAAAATACTGAATTTATAGGGCAGCAGCAGAACTAGGTTCTCATACAACTGTACAAGATCTCATTGTTATTACTTAAGTTGCCCAGAGAGGGAGCAATATCAGTTTGGTTTTCTGAGGGGAGGGGCATGCAAGTTAAAATGATCTGGGAGGTGGCTTCCATGAAGTAAAGCTGGGAGGGTCATGTAAAATCACTTACCTGAGGACTATAGTACCTTGGGGTGTGGATTCAGTTTTCAGATCTGATCCAGAACAGGGGTGTGGAGGTGTGGTGGGGAGGTGGGGGGTGTTCTGCTGATCAAGCATGAGGCTCTCTTTTCATGGGTGATCCACAGTTAAAGGAGTGTTGAAACCAGGCTCCTATATCCAAGAGTATGTGAACGCCACACTCCATCTCCATATGCCTTGGACAAACAGAAACACTGTGATGTCCTCCAGAAAGGATCAGCTGTTAACCACAGAAAGCCAGGAAGATTTTGTCTAGGTCAGGAAATAGTTTTCTAAATGTTTAAAAAATAGTCCCTCAGACTTCTCTCTTCTTGAGAGTTGTGTTCTTGTTTATAACCTTTGTTTGTATATTTAGATGTGTGTGGGCACTAACGTAATGTGCAGGTCTGGGGACAGCTTGTGGGAATCAGCTTTTTCCTTTGACCCTGTGGAATCCAAAGGATGGACTTGGGTTGTCAGGTTTGGCAACAAGTCTCTTCCCACTGTTCCATCTTGTAGCCTGAGGATAGTCTTTATGAAATGACCCCTCTTCCATACTGGCTGAAGAGCTAGCTGCAAGTTCTTATTATTATAGTGATAGAAATGGATTGATTTCCATTGAGTATTTTAAAGTAACATGTATAGTGTCCCATTTGGATGTCCCATTGTAAATTGTTTGAGATCTGTAAATACTGTGTATGGTCACATTGCCTTAAAGAAAGACTTCTCTATGGAAACAGATGTCTAAATGGCCTGTCATTGATAGCTATCCAAATTAGTGCCAGGTTCAAAATGTTTGAGGACATGGGCTGGGGAGATGAGTTTTTGGGAAAGTTTGCTGTGAAAGCAAGAGCCAAGTTTGGATCCTTAGTACTGACATAAAAGCCAGGTGTGGCTATGTGCAGGTTTGTAACCCCAGTGCTGTGGAGGGATAGGACGGTCATTGGGCCTTGCTGATCACCAGTCTGACTTCAGGTTCATTGAGACAGAGAATGACAGGACACCTAGCAGCTTCCTGAGGCCATCTGTGCACACACATGAGCGTGTTACATACTCACACACATACATACAGAGTTTGTCTGTCTCCGGAGCAACAGTGGGAAGTACAGCTTGTGCACACTTGATCTGACAATGAGAAACCTAGGGCTTTCCAGTGTATCATAACTACAGGTACATTAATTCAGCATGCTTTCTTGAATTGCTGGACCAGCAAATGCAGCAGTACTATTGGAGAATGAACATGCTTTCTCCAATTTACCTTATTTGACAATGTTTGCTGACATCCTTATTTTAATAATCTTCATCCCAATATTTTTGCATCTCTCTGCCCCCCCATAAAGCTGGACTGTGCAAGATGAATCGCAGTAATATCAAGGAGTTTTGTCTGTATAACTAAAGAGCAAATATTGAACTATTGAATTTTCTTCTCCCTCCCTCCCTCCCTCCCTCCCTCCCTCCCTCCCTCCCTCCCTCCCTCCCTCCCTCCCTCCCTCCCTCCCTCGTAGCCTTCACTGTCCTGGAACTAACTCTATAGATCTTGAACTCAGAGAGATCTGCTTGCCTTTGCCTCTCAAGTTTTGGGATTTAAGGCATGTGCCACCACCACACAAAAATAAATATTTAAAAAAGAAACATTTCTGTCGAGTGGTGGTGGTGCATACCTTTAATCCCAGCACTTGGGAGGCAGAGGCAGGAGATCTCTATGGGCCCAAGGCCAGCTTGTACAAAGTTCCAGGACAGTCAGAGTTGTTACACAGAGAAACCCTGTCTCGGTTGGGGGTTGGGAGGGGAACAAGCAAAAAGAATACTATTTGGGATATGGGAAAATTAAGTACTTATAAATGTTATGTTGGGGCACAGCTCTATGTAGAAACTGCTTACAGCTCTGTGTAGAAACTGCTTTTTACTCATGAACCTTCTGTGGTGGCAAAGTCAAGGCCAACGGTACTGCGTGCATGGCTTCCCAGGCGAACGCATCATCTGGGAGTACATGGTGCTCCTTGGAGTTCCAATGTTAGTAGGGAATCACACAGGCAGGGAGAGTGAGGAAGGGAAACCTAGCAGTTTGTCACTCTGCCTATGCCTCTCTCCTCTTTTGACAGAGATACCGAACAAAGCCGTACTGCTGTAGTCTCTGTAGGTACTCAACAAAGGTGCTCACCTCCCTAAAAAACCACCTGCATCGCTACCATGAAGATGAGGCCGACCAAGAGCTGATGATCCCCTGCCCCAACTGTCCGTTTGCTTCACAGCCCAGGGTGGTGGGCAAGCACTTCAGGATGTTCCATGCACCTGCTCGGAGAGTCCAGAGCTACACTGTGAATATTCTGGGTGAGGCGAAGACATCAAGGAGTGACGTGATAAGCTTCACGTGTTTAAAGTGTAACTTTTCCAACACCTTGTACTACAGCATGAAGAAGCATGTGCTGGTGGCCCATTTCCATTACTTAATTAACTCCTACTTTGGTTTTCGAACCGAGGAAACAGAGCAACCAAAAGCAAGTGACCCTGTTTCTGTGGATAAGACCCTGACACTTGACAAATACTACTGTAAAAAATGCAGCGCTATTGCCAGCAGTCAGGATGCCCTGATGTATCACATTTTGACATCAGATGTACATAGGGACTTGGAGAATAAGTTGAGGTCTGTGATTTCAGAGCACATCAAGAGGACTGGGTTTCTGAAGCAAATGCACATTGCTCCCAAACCAGTGACCCACTTGGCCTTACCGCCAAACAGCAGCGCCCCGAGCCTCCCAGCCCCTTCACCTTGCTTCCACCTAGCTTTGCCACAGAACAGTCAAAGCCCTGGCACTGTGCAACCAGTGTCTGTGGCCCCAGGCTCTTCTGGAAGCCTTCCACACTCCCCCCCCACCACTGCCCAGTCTCAGGTAGCTCTGGTCTCCAGCCCTCTGCCTGTGTGCCAGAGTAGCCTCACCCTGCAGCCATCAGCCCCCCCGCCCGTCTTTCTCTCTCACAGCGTCCCGCTTAATCAGCCTGTGCGCACCTCTGTGCTGCCTGTGACTAAGTCTGTTGGAGCAAGCATCCTTCCTATGAATCAAGCTGTCCGTCCTGGAGTTTTACCCCTCACTCAGCCCATGGGGTCCATAAGTAGGCCCGTGGGGCCCATAAACAGACCTGTTGGGCCTGGTGTCTTGCCTGTGAGTCCCCCTGTCAACTCAGGGGCTCTCCAGTCTGCTTCTTCAGGGGTGATTCCTGTAGGTCGGGCAGTTCCATCAGGAGTCCTTCCTGCAGGCCAGGTGACCCCTGCAGGAGTGATTCCTGGCCAGACAGCCACTTCTGGTGTCCTACCCGCTGGTCAAGTGGTCCAGTCATCAGTTCTTCCTGTTGGCCAGACAGCTCCATCTCGTGTTCTCCCTCCTGGCCAGACAGTGCCCTTGAGGGTTCTCCCTGCAGCCCAGGTGGTATCACCTGGGCTGCTTTCCTCAAACCAGACTGTCTCCTCAACTGTTGTTCCTGTGAATCAGGGTATGAGCTCTGGTGTTATTCAGCTCAATCAGCCAGTAACATCAGGAGTTCTTCCTGTGGGCCCCCCTGTGAGGCCTGGTGTGCTGCAACTCAGTCCGTCTGTCAGCACCAACATCTTGCCTGTGAGCCAGGCGGTGAGAGCTGGAACCTCACAAAACACTACTTTCCTCACTTCCGGCTCTATTCTCAGACAGCTCATTCCGACTGGGAAACAGGTGAATGGAATCCCCACCTATACGCTGGCCCCAGTGTCTGTCACTTTGCCTGTGTCCTCTGGGGGAGGCCTTGCGGCTGTTGCACCACCACCCCAGGTGCCAGTGCAGTTCTTGCCCTCAAGCTCGGGCACACAGATGGCTAGCTCCTTGCCTAGCCTGCCCTCCCCACAGGTGCTAGTGAGCCCTGCCCCTAGTGTGTTTGTTCAGGCTACCTCGCCTGTGGCAGATGCAAATCAGGCGCTCAGACAGGCCAAGCAGTGGAAAACGTGCCCGGTTTGCAATGAGCTCTTCCCTTCCAACGTCTATCAGGTTCACATGGAGGTGGCTCACAAGCAGAGCGAGTCTCAGCTCTGCCAGGTGTGCAATGAGCTCTTCCCCGCTAACGTCTACCAGGTTCACATGGAAGTCGTTCACAAGCAGGGCGAGTCCAAGTCTGGTGAGAAACTTGAACCTGAAAAGCTTGCTGCATGTGCCCCATTTCTAAAGTGGATGAGGGAGAAGACCGTGCGCTGCCTCTCTTGTAAGTGCCTGGTTTCGCAGGAGGAGCTGATGCACCATTTGCTCATGCATGGCTTGGGGTGCCTGTTTTGTCCCTGCACTTTTCATGATGTCCGGGGCCTTGTGGAGCACAGCAGGACTAAGCACCTGGGCAAGAAGAGGCTGTCTATGGACTACAGTAACAGAGGTTTCCAGCTGGACCTGGATGCTGATGGGAACCTGCTGTTCCCCCATCTCGATTTCATCACCATACTGCCACGAGAGAAGCTTGGAGAGCGAGAGGTATACCTGGCTATCCTTGCTGGAATACACTCCAAGTCACTGGTACCCGTGTATGTTAAGGTGAGGCCTCAACCCGAGGTTTCACCAAAGATGCCTAGCAAACAGAAGCTGACCTGCCCCTTTTGTTTTGGCACATTTTTGACTGCTGATGCCTATGAGCTGCATCTGAAGGAGAGGCACCATGTCATGCCCACAGTTCATACAATGCTCAGGTCTCCAGCCTTTAAGTGCATTCACTGCTGTGGGGTCTACACTGGAAACATGACCTTAGGAGCCATTGCTGTCCATTTGCTCCGTTGTAGAAGTGCTCCCAAGGACAGCAGCTCAGACCTGCAAGTCCAGCCAGGCTTTATTGAGAGCAGTGAACTGCTGCTGGTTAACGGGGAAGTGATCCCTGACTCCACCTTTGCTGTGAAGAGAAAGCTGCCAGAAGGCCACCTGGGGGCTGAAGACCAGAGGGATGGGGACAAGCCCCAGCTCTCTCTAGACACCATTGCAATCCCGGGTGCAGAGAGAGGGCTGAGTGCTGTGCCTTTGAAGAGACAGAAGAATGAAAGCAGGACAGAGGGACCAGGGGCCAGTGATGACTCTCTGCAGGTGTTAGCATTGGATCCCGCTAAGTATGGAAGCCGCTCCTATGAGGACAAAAAACAGTTTCTTAGAGACTATTTCCACAAGAGACCATATCCTAGTAGAAAAGAAGTGGAGCTACTGACTTCACTCTTATGGGTGTGGAAAATCGACGTGGCTTCATTTTTTGGGAAAAGAAGGTATATTTGCATGAAAGCAATAAAAACTCATAAGCCCTCTGTACTGCTAGGTTTTGATATGTCTGAACTAAAAAATGTCAAACATAGACTGAACTTTGAGTGTGACTCACCACCTGTAGAAGACTAGGTCTGGAGTCTGGATGACTTTGGATGTGCCCTGGCTTTGTTCTAAGTGTCTGAGGCCCTGCAAGGCGTTCCAGGTGCTCAGAAAGCCTGGTAAAGAAGCACACAGTCCCACAGATGGGCTGTTCCCTGCAGCTTGGTTTGCAACTGTTTCGGTTTTTTCCTGCCATGTAAATTAAATCTTTGGTATTTCATGCACGCCTTGTTTTCCCAGGAGTGTCAGTATCAATAGTAACAACCTGGAGTCCACAAATACTTGTTTTTCATTTAAGGAAATTTCTGCTTGTTTGAGAATACTTGATTAATAGAAAATGAAAGCATTGCTCAGCTTCAGTTGACAGACAACAACTATGTCCATGTCTAAGAGAAGTAAGCACTCTGAAGTCTTTGGGCCCTGAGGACATACTTGTAAGCATTAACTTCTGCTGATGCTGGGAATGCTGTCTGCTTAAGACTACACATTTGATTTACATCTTTTAGGTTTTCCCTAATAGCTATTTTAAAAAAATATATCGTAATCCATAAAAAACCAAATGTTTCCATTTATTAAAATACCCTGAGCCTGAAGTCTGGTGTTTAGTGAATAATCAAGTTTTGCTTTATGAGTAAAATCTCTGCAGGAATAGAAGTGCTCCCCAGAGCAGACTGTCTTGTGCTATGATGGCCAGTCCGTCCTCCATTGAAAGTGAGACAAGTCTTTAGTGCCTTTAGAATAACTGAAAACACCTCGATGCCTCCTTCCTTGGAACTGCTGGTAAACTAGTAGAAAGGAAGGACCATGCCTCAAGTGGGGTTCCTGCCCTTGTATATAGACACAGCTAATCCAGGCAGATTTCTGAGTTCTAGTCAAGTCTGGTCTATGTAGTGTGACCCCCATCTCAAAAACAAAAACAAATGAAGAAAGCTGGCCGTGGTAGTTCATGCCTGTAATACCAGGTCTCAGGAGGCAGAGGCAGGTGGCTCTCTGTGAGTTCAAGGCCAGTTTGGTCTACAGAGTGAGTGCCAGAACACAACTTGAGGTGGAGTGCAGGTTTCAGCAGACCAGGCTCTGTCTTTGATTAGAATAGCGTGGGATAGATGTGTTAGAGTTGGAGAAACACGCTTTCCTCAGGCCCAGGTGTTGAGATGAATGGAATGTGGACTGATGAATCTTCACAGTCCTGTGGATGCCAATTTTTTTTTTAACATACTATGAACTAATGTAAAGCACCAGAACTGTAATGGGGACCAGCCAACTCTGGTCAAAATCACCCCTCTGAGTGATGCACAGCAAGCAGAGGGGATGCCGGCCTCTGGGAAGCACTGCAGTGTTGCTATATATAGTTTTTAAAATACAATACTTGCATGTAATTGCTCTAATGTTCATTTCGAGGCAGTTGTTTGTGACTATTGATGTACTCTGTTGTAAATTCAGAGCTTGTTGGACTTTATTTTTTTTTTATTATTTCCAGAGTGTCTATTTTGAATTAAAATTTGTTAAACCACTGAAAATAGAACTGTTTAATTTTTGTTACATTAAACATTCCTATCCTCAGACAGGGTGGAGCATACTCATGGTCCCAGCTATTCCAGTGGGGGCTTTGTGTGCCTGACTGCTGTGTTACTGCATTCCGCGTATAAGCGTACCATATCCTTTCATGTAGATGTTACTCTGCAACTTGTGTCTTACAGAGGCAGAAGCTAAGGCTCATATAAGCAACCAGTGGTCCAGGCTGCTCAGGATTCAAGGTATTTCCCTGGATTGGTGCTAAAAGTAGAACATCAAATGGGACAAGTTTGTCATTCTCTTAAATGTGAGTTACTGGCCCAAGGTTGGACATTGTGTCTAGGCTTCTATATAGCTCTTTAAATATTAAGATATATAGAACATCTTGATGTGAGACATCTTTCTGGAGATAAAAGCCATCTGGAGCTCATTAGAGTACTTAACTGTGTGCTAGGACCACTCTTAAGTCTGGGTACCCACAAGTAATGAAAAGTGAAAGGAAGCTCTGTTAAGTTAGGATAGCAAGACAGAAAGGTTTTGTTATACATAATGATGCCAGTCATAACTCAGGCAGTTCCATCTGACATTGCCTCCCCCCACCCCCTCTCCGAGACAGGGTTTCTCTGTGACTTTGGAGGCTGTCCTAGAACTCATTTTGTGGAGCAGGCTGGTTTGGACTCAGAGATTTACCTGCCTCTGCCTCCCAAGTGCTGGGATTAAAGGCGTGTGCCACCACTGCCCAGCCCAGAACATCACTACTTAAAACAGAAGCTCCCACCAGTGAAATGCTGCTAGAATTTCAGGTTCCAGGTCAGGCCCATTGTATCCTTTTATTCCGGGTCTTTGTACTTGTCATTCTCTGCTTTTTTCTGAGAACATCACTGTTGGCCTGTGCTATTGACCAGTTACAGTGTGGCCCACCTTAGCTCCTCAGGAGGCAAGCAAACAGATGCTCCAGCTTCCAAACTGTCTGACCTCCAATACCTGTCCCGACTTAACTACGAGCCTAAACATCCACAAATGCTTCCAAACTGTCTGACCTCCAATACCTGTCCCGACTTAACTACGAGCCTAAACATCCACAAATGCTTCCAAACTGTCTGACCTCCAATACCTGTCCCGACTTAACTACGAGCCTAAACATCCACAAATGCTTCCAAACTGTCTGACCTCCAATACCTGTCCCGACTTAACTACGAGCCTAAACATCCACAAATGCTTCCAAACTGTCTGACCTCCAATACCTGTCCCGACTTAACTACGAGCCTAAACATCCACAAATGCTTCCAAACTGTCTGACCTCCAATACCTGTCCCGACTTAACTACGAGCCTAAACATCCACAAATGCTTCCAAACTGTCTGACCTCCAATACCTGTCCCGACTTAACTACGAGCCTAAACATCCACAAATGCTAAGGATCTAGTTTCAAGGTCTTGCTGAGTAGCCCAGGCTGCCTTAAACTCATGGCGATCCTGGCCCTGCAACTTGACTGCTGGAATTCTGACTTGTGCCACCACAACAACTTGACTGCTGGAATTCTGACTTGTGCCACCACAACAACTTACAGAAGGTCATTTTTTCTTTCTTTTTGTTTTTGAAAGAAGGAATTTTGTCCTGAAGATAACTTATTTTTAAAAGCTGTTTGTCTAGTTGTTTGATGTGCTTTCAAATGACCAGACTAAATACATTTGTCATGACAATATACATGACCAGGACATATGGCCAGGGTTTTGAAGTGTACTTAGGAAACATCAAGTTAGCCAAGCCTTCTGTGTAAGCCAACTTTACCTGCTAGAAAATCGACAGCTCTATCCTGAACTCTATGCTGCAGGGATGGTGACTTCTGGTGTAATCTACTTTACTGCTGGTGTTACCTGAAAGCTATACATTCAGAACTGAGCAGCATACACCTCTGGCAATACCCAGTATCATATGTTTCCTAGCCATATATATGCCTGCTGCTTGTTTGCATCATTTCATGGGATTCTACATAATATTCCATATTCAGCTGTCTTAATGAAAAAGGAGAAAAGTTGAGATACAAATGCCATTTAGTCAGTGGTAGAGTGCTTTATTAGCATTTGGGAAGTTTTGCATTCAATTCCTAAGCACAGCTAAGAGTTGAATAAATTAGACAATAAAGGTAGATAATGTTGCTTATTAAAATGTCTATATGGTTGTGGACAGTTGACTTTAGGGTCTGTTCAGTTACAAATCTGGACATCTAGGGAGATTCCTCTGTAAATTCTTAAGTGAGTTCAATTACAACATTCTTCCATGTATCTTTAGAGCTGCACATTATTGTCCTAGTACAGCACATCGTGTTCCTAGAATCAAAATATGCCAGTGTCTCTGGACTTAGTGTAACTGAAACAAAATCTCCCATATAACCCGTGGACACTAAGCCCTAGATATGACCTGCTTGACCCTGCTCTGGATCTCAGAACCCATGCCAGGCTCTTCCCACTCTGTTTTCCACCTATAAAACAGCTCATGGGGTTCCTTCTGTGTGTCTCCAGAGAGGTTCTCCACGTAATCACACTAGATATGCAGCATGGATCTTTGCCATTTTCTGAGCCGTTTAATGAACAAGCCACATACCTGTGGTGACCATGCTGGTCTTTGTGATTGACAGGCATCGTAGCTGGATAGGACTAATAATTCCCTCACCCCCTTCCCTTGCAGGGTACTATGGAAGCTAGATCACAGGAAGGAGGCTTTCAGGTTAGGTCACCTTGAAAAATCTGAGTCACGTGTCCTAAGTCCTCCTGTCTTCAGCAATAGGGATTAACCTTCAGTCTTTGAGAGGCAACCAAGGGCAGCAGCGGTAATCTAGAATGAGTCACTTGGACTACCCTGGCCAACCACTCAAATAAAGGTTTTCATGTCTGGAACTGGAAGTTTTTTGTTTGCTTGTTTTTCGTTTGAGTTTTTTGAGACAAGGTGTCTCAGTGTAACAGTCCTGGCTGTCCTGGAACTTGTTTTGTAGCCCACACTGGCCTCAAACTTATAGAGTTCTGTTTGCCTCTGCCTCCCAAGTGCTGGGATTAAAGGTGTGCGCCACCACTGCCCAGCGCTACCAGAGTTTTTATTAGTCTTAAGGCTCTTGTGGGGAGCGTTGTCAGCCCAAGTGTCGTATCTTCACTTAGTATGCATATCTGCATATAGGATTTATATATATTGTGTATAATGTATAATTTCAGGTAAATACAAAGCGATCCCTTGAAGCTTTTTACCTTGGTGCTGTTTGTGTGCCCTCCCTCCCACCTGCTATATTGGCCTCTCCCATTTCCCATGTCTCCACTCGTATCACTGGTGTCTTGTGTTCTTCTCTGAAGTCCTCCCCCTCCCCCCACAGTACCTTTCTGCTCTCCTGGTTTCTACAGCTGCTTCATGTTACCTTCTTATGCCTGAAGATTTGGAGCCCGGGATTGCAGAGGAGAACGTACAGGGTTTGTCTTTCTGGGTCTCGGTTACCTTACTCCATATAATCTTTAGTTGATAATCCATTTACTGCATTGTCTTTTTCTTCACAGTTGAATGCTGTTCCAGGGTGTATGTGTACCACATTTTCATTATCTAGTAATCTGTGGAAGAACATTTGGCTTGTGTCCATTTTCTGGCTATTGCCATAGGGCAGCAATGAACATGGTTGAACAAGTGTCCTTCTGGAATGATGTTGAGTCCTTTGGGCATATGCTGAGAAGTGGTAGAATTGGGTCATGTGGTAGGTTTATTTGCAGATTTTGAGAATGCTCCATCCTGATTTCCAGAGAGGCCATATCAGTTTGCTTTCCCAACAACAGTATATGTGGCTTTCTTCTCTCCACGTCCTTTCCAGCATTTGTTGTTAGTTGTTTTGTTATCTGAGCCACTGACTGGAGTGAGAGGCCATTTCAGAATTGTTTTAGTTTGCATTTCACCAATTGTATGGTGGCTGACAAAGGGCGTGGCACTATTAGGAGGTGTGGCTTTGTTGGATTAGGTATGGCCTTGTTGGAGGAAGTGTGTTACTGTGGAGGTGGGCTTTGAGATCTCTTTTATGTTCAAGATACTGCCCAGTTTTCCAGACCACTTCCTGTTGCCTGTGAGTCAAGATGTAGGTCTTAGCTCCTTCTCCAGCACCATGTCTGCCTGCATGCTGTCATGCTTCCCTCTATGATGTAATGGACTAAACCTCTGAACTGTAAGCCAACCACCACAATTTCTTTTATAAGACTTACTGTTGTCATGGTGTCTCTTCACTGCAACAGAAACCCTAGCTAGGACAAATGGTCAACATATTTTGAGGTGTTTCATAGCCATTTTAATTTCTTGTATTAAGAATTCTGTTCAGATCCATAGCCCATTTTTTAAAATTGGATCACTGTTTTAATGACTTGTTTTTTGAGTTCTTTGTATATTCTGGATATTAATCATCTGACAGACATACAGCTGCAAAGATTCTTTCCTGTTCTGTTGGTTTCTTCAACCAATTTATTGTTGCCTTAGCTATACAGAAAACCATTTGTCAATTGTTGGCCTTAATTGCTGGGTAGAATGTAGTCTTACTTCAAAAATGCTTTCCTGCATCTGTATCTTGCAGGGTTCTGCCTATGTTTTCTTCTAGAAGTTTTAGCATTTCAGGTTTAAAATTGAAGTCTTTGATCCATTTGGAGTTAATTTTTGTGCAGGATGATAGATATGGATTTAATTACATGCCTCTGCATGTGGGTATCCAGTTTCCACAGTACTATTTTGTTGAAGATGCTGCCTTCTGAGTGTATTTTTGGCATTATTGACAAATGTCAACCAGATGGCTATAGTTACATGTACTCATGTTTGGGCCTTCTATTTTATTCCATTGGCATATATGTTTGTTTCTGTGCCATTATCATACTGTTTTTTAATACAACTCTATAATATGTATATTTTGAAATGGCAGTTCCTTCAGTGTTATTGTTTTTGCTCAGGATTGCTTTGGCTATCTAAGGTTTTTTTCTGGTTCCAGAGGACTTTTAGGATTCTTTTCCTATTTTATTTTATTTTATTTTGCTTTTGTTTTTCGAGACAAGGTTTCTCTGTTTTGGAGGCTTGTCCTGGAACTAGCTCTGTAGACCAGGCTGGCCTCGAACTCACAGAGATCTGCCTGCCTCTGCCTCCTGAGTGCTTGGATTAATCCTTTCCTATTTTAGTGAAGAATGTTGTAAGTATTTTGACTGGGATAGCATTGAACCTGTGAATCTAACACAGACCACAGAACAAAACTTACTAAATTAGAAAAACTGTAATAATTCCATACACCCTATCTGACTATCATGAAACAAAATTTAAAATTGACAGCAGAAAATCTGTTGGAAGTACATAAACTCATGGAGATTAAACAATTCATTACTGAATCCAGACTGAGTCAAAGAAATAAAAAATAAGATAATTTCTGGTACTAAATGAAAATGGAAATACAACAGAACAAAACCTTTTGGAAAGAGCATGATAAATAACTTAATGTTGCAACTGAAGTATTTGGAAAAACAATGGGGGTGTGGTTGCTACATGCCCAGCTCTCGAGAGACAAAAGTAGGTGAATCTGTTAGAGACCTGTCTGTTCTACATGAAGAGTTCATAGACCATATCATAGACAGACAGAACAGGTAAAAACAAGAACAAACCAAACCCAAATCAATAGATGGCAAGAAGTATAAGTCCAAGCAGAGATTAATGAAATGGAAACAAACAAACAAAATCCTTGAATAAAAGAGCTGGTTCTTTGAGAAGATAAACAAAATTGACAGACTCTTGGCCCAATTAACCAAATAAAGACATGATCCAAATGAATCAGGAATGAACAAGGAAACATTACAATACCATAAATAAAATTCAGAATATTGTAAGGTAATTCTTAAAAAAGCCTCTATTCCATTACATTGGAAAATCTAAAAGAAATGGATAAATTTCTTGATTCAAACCAACAAAGTTAAGCCAAGAAGAGATCAAAAGTCTAAACATACCCATAACAAATGAGGACATTGAAAGAGTAATAAAAAGCCTTCCAACTAAAAAAGCTCAGGACCAGATGGATTCACAGCAGAATCCTACTAGACTTCCGAAGATCTACATCCATATCATTAAAAAGAAAGAAAAACAATACCCCCTAACTCAATGTATAAAGTCAGTATTAACATTAATATCAAAACCAGGTAAAACAACAAAAGAATAAAAACTGCAGACTGATGTCCTTGATGAATACGGATGTAAAAATCCTCAATAAAATACTAGTAAACTGAAAACAGGGCACATATCAAGAAGATCATCTACTGTGTTCAAGTTAGCTTTATTATCTCCGAAATTCAGGGATAGTTCAACATACTTCAGTCACTAAATATAATAAATCATATAAATGGACTTGAAGATAAAAATCACAGATTATCTCAATAGCTAAAGGAAAAAAAAAAACACCTTTGACAGAAATCCAACATGCTTTTATGATAAAACTCCTAGAAAGTAGGACTGGTGAAAATGTACCTCAGCAGTAAAAGCTATCTAAGAGAAGCCCACAGCCAACTTTATCCTAAACAGAGAGAATCTTGAAGCAATCCCATTAAAGTCGGGAATAAGATGAGCTGTCCACTATTCCCAGTTCTTTTCAATATAGTGCTAAGAACTAGCTAGAGCAATAAGGTAAAGGTATAGAAATAAGAAAAAAGTCGTATTATTTTGATTTGCAGATACTACTTTATACACAAGAGATCTTAAAAATTCTACCAGAAAACTTCCAGAAATGATTTCAGCAAAGTGGCAGGATACAAAATCAACTTAGAAAAATTAATAGCCTTTCTATACACCAACAACAAATACTGATAAAGATCTTGGGCTCAATCTAATTTACAGTACCTTCAAACACAATAAAATATCTTGGGATGAAAGTAACCAAGGAGGGGGAAAAGACCTTTACAATGAAAAATTTTGAATTTCTGAAAAGATTGAGAAAGAAAATTGAAGCCATCCCTTGTTCACAGGACAGTAGGATTAATATTGTGAAAATGATCATGCCACCAAATCTTAAAAAACAAACACACTACTAGTGATATCTCTGGAGTGGAAATAATTTGTGAGTAAATGGTCAGGATTGTAATAATCTTCACAAAATAGGTAGGTACCAGTGATATAATAAACAATTTCTACCCATGTTGATAACTGAAATTCCAGAAACTGCGGGCATCAGTCAGATCTACATTGCCTGCAAACCCTTCGTTCCTCAGCTGTGTAGATGCCCTAGGACTGTTTCATGTAAAACCAAAAATGCTAAATAATCTGCTTGACTTCATTGGCTGGAAGGTGGCTCCCAGGCAGCATCTGTGCTCTGGGTGTGTGACATGGATGAGTGGTTTGAGTGAGAATGGCCTCTGTGCCTTACGTATTTGAATGCTTCGTCACCAATCAGTGGAACTGTTCGGGAAGGGTTAGAAGGTGTGGCTTTGTTGAAGGGTGGCGCTGGGAGTGAGTGAGCTTTGAGCTTTCAAAAGCCCATGCCAGTCCTACCGCCCACCCCCAATCTCTGTCTCTCACTCTCGCTTCTGTCTCGTGCTTATGAATCAGGCGGAAGTTCTCAACTGATGCTCCAGTGCCATGCCTGCCTGCCTGCTCCTTGCTGTGACAGTCATGGACTTACCCTGTGAAACTGTAAGCAAGTCCCCATAACTTATAAATGCCTTTATAAGTTACTTTGGTCATGGTGTCTCTTACAGCAATAGACAGTAACAGAAGTATATCAGCAACTATCAGCAACACACATTAACTCAAAAGCAAAAAAGTTTATTTTCTGATATATAAAACCAAAAAAATTTAATATATAATGACATAGATTTTTTTCCGAAGGAAGAAATAAAATGTAGGAGTAGAGTTCTACTTAGAAAATACACTCAGGTATCTGTTAAACACATGTAGTTTCTCATATGCAACAGCTCACAAAGGTCAGATAAAGCCATTAAGTTCCCTTGAATAAATTGATTCATAAACCGATTCACATTTGCCAAACAACTTAAGCACGGTAAGAAACAACTTTCCATCTTGGTATCAAACCCAGTGTATTCAGCACAATATACCAAGCGACAGCTTAGCTGAGAACAATTCTTGTAGTAACCGGTCATCAGTTTTTTTGGCTCTGTAATACTTGTAGGAAAAACACATTCCAAACTACTGCAGCAGCACAGGAGATGCTTGGTCAGCACTGAGATGCATCTTACCTTATGCTCACGAACAGACGGTGGATCATCCTCTGCACACAACTGAGACACAGACCCAGCAAACAGTTCCTCAGGAAAAGTTACATCTGCCCAATAAACAGTTCTCCAAAGGAAAAAAACCAACTTCTTAATAAATTCTGGGTAAGGGACAACACAGGGATGCAGTTTCCTCTGTGACATTCACAAAGTCAGGACAGTTCTGCTTCTGACCAGCAGGTGGGGCTGTCAACCTGGAAGGCTGGGAAGACACTTTAAACCTGTATTTACATTAAAGATTCACTTGGTCAGTTTGTTCTCAGTTAATAAATGCGCCATTCTCTCTGCAACATTGTATCCAAACAGAAAACACAATTCGTGTGCAATTTGAGTAAGACAGTAATAGGCCTCTAAGAAGAGTGATCTGTCACAACTATTTTAAGTTGCGTGTGACTGTTTCTACTTAAAGAAGAGGACTCCTGCCAGTGACCACTGGTGTAGGAATGTGCACTGACATGCTCTCATCTTCCTTATAAAAGCAAGCAGCTGTTTTAAAAGCAAAGCTAACACGTACTGTTGTGGTGCTCATCTCCATTTCTCTTGAAGTCATCTTAAAACTGTCCCATTCAGTCAACCCAAAGAAAACCTTGATGTAAACATCAGCTCTTAATCCATGGGCTATCACCGGGCCTCACCTTCTAGCCTCACTGTAAGAGGCTGATGGCAGTGACTGCCTGCCTGCCTGCCTGCCTGTCCAGGCTGGGACATCTGCAGATGCAGCCGCTGTAACCCCAATGGCTTCTGGGTATAGGCCAGTGGGCTTTTTGGGCTGGCTGTAAGTGGTGTGAAAACAGGTTCTTCCTGTAAGGAGACCTATCCTTAGACAGCTTCCGCTTCCTGTCACAGCCACACTTGGTCAGTGGAGTGTTCAGGCATTACGAGATTTTTACATGAATGAATTAAAAACATGAATTGTACTATTTAAAAAAGTTATCCATAAAGATTTATTTTAAAAACAGGTATTTTTAAAAACTTTAAAAACTCTGTACTTTAGCATTGTTTTACTCTGCAAAGGTTCTGGACATGCCCTGAGGCCTGGCTCAGAATATGTGCAGGTGTGTATATTTTTAAATTCTGTGAAAAAATCCTATAAAAATAGACAGTATTCTTGTCCAAAAGCTTAAATAAAGAGTAGGGTTGTAGGAATGATGATGAAAAAACGAAAGAAAAAGATGAAGTACACAATTATTTTTCTGACTTTAAAATTGACATAAAAAAGTAAAGTATTTCCTTTTGGAGTCACTAGACATCTAATAGTACTACATACTACTCAACACTTGCCACCCATGGCTCTTGTTCCTCACAGTGTGTCTGGCAGCTCAGCCTGTCCAAGTGGCTCAAGCCCTAGAGTGTGATGGCTGGTCCATGCTCCTCCACACCTCCTTGAGGGAGGACCAGGCTGTGCCGTGGGTCTGGTTTCAGGGAGCTGAGAAACCTGTGGATGCTGCCATTGCTCTCCCTCCCAGAGCTATGCAGGACCATGTCCCTGTGCAGCCTGTGGGCAAGGCTGGTACCATTGGCCCTCGAGAGGCTGCCTGGAGGTACAGCCTGTGTCTTGAGAATGTGCTGAGGTTCCAGAGCCCCCTCAATGACGATGTCGGCTTCCTCATCACTCTCCATCTCTTCAGAGTGGAAATTCTGCAGAACATGGGTGGCTGGCAGGCTGTGGTGACTGGTGGTGCTGTCTGTCGACTGGACAGAGCTACTGGATGTGCGGCTGCTGCGGACCACGTTGTTCCTTTGGTTGGCAGGCTTGACGGTGACAATGAGGTTGTGGCTGTTGGCGATCATCATGTCTGTGACTTGATCCAATGTCTTTCCAGCTACCTCAATCCCATTTACCTCCAGGACTTCGTCATTCACAGCCAGCAGCCCAGTGCTCTCTGCAAGGCCCCCAGGCACCATTCGGGAAATGAAGATACCCGGTACTTTCTCTAGCCCATGGGGGGTCACACGCACGCTGGTTCCATCTCGGATGTAGAAGCCCAGTGGCTTTTCACAACCATGCCTGTAGAGCCTCACTCGGCGGTGTGTCTCGGGGAGGATGTCCACATCAATGATGGACGACACTGGGCGGAAGTCATGTGGCATGCTGATGTTGAGGTGTGTTCGCCGGCGCAGACCCTCATCCCTCAGGGTCACCAGCACTTTCTTCTTCCTTGACAGAGTGCCTGTTCCAAAGCTGTAGTGGTCTGCTTCCTCTGAAACAGTGCGGAGAGTAAAGTGAGAGGCAGATCACAAGCAGCCAGAAAGCACTAGTAATCTCTGCAGTGTTGAGAAGCCTGTGTCTGCTGCCTCAGATTCTGTTACCTGCCTTCCAACTACACTCCACCCCCTAGTCTGAGTCCCAGAAGTACTGTATCTGGGACTTGATGCCCAGAAACACTGGGGTAACTGGGGGTTACCTCGCTTCCCTGTGGATATCTCCAAACTGGCCCCAGGGGATGAAACCAAATACATAGAGGATGAGCGGTAGAATGAAGAACCCACAATGAAGAGAATTAGCGAAAGAAGGGTTAAACGTGGGAGTCTAGCAAAATCGAGAACAGGTCATACCACAGCACGGCCTGACTGCAAGAAACTTCTGCAAACATGGGTTAAACCACAGCACAGCCTGCTGCAGAGAGCTTCCACAGACAGATGACTGGACTGGGGGGTTCAAACATCCAACCAAGTCCCTAGATGATTCCCTGTTGCCTCACTTCCAGCTGTTAGGGCAGAGAACTTGTTCTGTCTTAGGTCGATCCCTAAAACAGACTCTCCTCTCCCCCTGTAAGCATCGTGGTGTCAGCAGCACTCAAGCCCGGACAGAAGGCGTTTCTTAGGGAATTGTTTTTGCTTGTTTTTCTGAACAGTGGCTGATGAGGTGTGACACAGCACCTTGCACCAGTAGGGTGACAGGCCACTGCAAGACAAGACATGTTTGGGTGAATCAGCTGGCCAGGCATAGGCTGAGTAGCTTGGTCTAAAGCACAGTTTTTAGAAGATGAGAGGCAGAGTAGACTGGTGTTTGGAAATGCTGAAGAGATCACTCAGGTTAGAAAAACAGGACGTTTATTTTCATATTAAGTCTTTCATTTGACACGTGAGGCTATAAAAGAAAGCACATCGAACTCAGATCAAAGGCCTCAGTCCCCATGGCTCACCTCCCTGGATACACATGTGTCTGTTCTACACACTGCTCCTGTGGAGTCTGTGCCTCATGGTGGTCTCCTCTGGATGGACTTGGGGTGGTATGGTGCCTGTCTTTGCCAACAAAAACCCAGCTAGGAGACATTTCTCTTCCCAGTCCCCCTCTCTTCAAAAGCTGACCATTTCTCAGACCCACGCCCTTATGAGCAGGATACCGAGAGGTGGCCTGCTCACGCCCTGTCTCCCAACAGCCTTTCTAACATGGGCTTTCTCACTTGCATGTCTGTAAAAGATGGAAGACTGATGGAATCAGAAGAACCAGAACCCAGGCAGGAAGAATGGATGAGAGAAAAGAAAAGGAGAGCAGAGTGGAAACAGCCCGGGAGTGGTAAGACAGTTCTAACACCTAGGGAAACTTCTTGTCTTTCATTCTGGAAGAAGGCTGGTGTGAAAGCCCAGAAGCTTGACATGGACAGGAAACTTAAAGCCAAGAGGGCTAGTGCTAGGGACAGGGCCAAAGAGGACAACATCTAGGTTACAAAGCCCAAGAAAGAAGCCTGCTGCATCTGAGGCCCTCCTGAGGCAGATGTGTCCATCGCCACACGCAAGAGGAAGCACTCGCCTGCTCAGTTCAGGCCCAGAAGAAAATACTCCCGCTATGGCCACATACCAGCTGGTGACAAGAATGGTGGCTCCTTCATGGCTAAGCTTCAAGAACTGCCATCACCAGAAGGCAATGCCTGAAGCTAGGAGCATGGCCAGCCCTGCATTCAGCACATGGGATCACCATGAGCCTGCTCCTTCAGGGAGAGCCTCACAGTCACTGAGCCAGAGCTTGGAGTGGGTTTCTAGAAGAAGCCAAGCATTGGTTTGTGGTGTGTGACTCAACTCCTTCCCTCAGCTGAGTTCCTCTGCATAGAACACCCCAGAAGCCTATCACACCAGTGTCTGTGATGTGACCATCCCCAGACACCACACCGAGGCTGTATCAAGCAGCAGCTAAGGAAGTCAGTAAGGTGAGACCTAAGACCTGGAAAAGGCAGTGTGAACTTATTGCACAGCAAGAGTCAATGGAAGCTGTAGACTTGCAAATTTTACCACACCTAAAGCCGGTCCTCAGCCCTGCAGTGGAAAGTGCCCATGAACTCATGCTCTGATTTCTTACCAAGAACCTAATTAAATGGGCACATTTTATCTCTTTTCTAAGTTATTATCTGTTTGAAGGTGGGACTTTTGCATCTCCTGTAAAGCAGGGACTGGGGCACTAATGCATTGTGTGCCTCGTATGACAGAGACCCTGAAATTGTAAGCAGTGAGTTTCAACAAACCAGGTTCCCTAACTTGGTTTCTGTGGTGTTGGCTAGACCCTAGTGTCCAGCTCTTGCTTCTCTGGCCCTGGCCCTGTCTGTATTTCTAGCTCTCAAATTCATTTAACTATGCATCAGAATTTCCCATAGATCTAAAGGTTCTGACACGGCAGCTTGTTCCCTTTCGGGCCCATCATGATGACTAACAGAATATTCTGGCTTTTCAGAGAGACACTGGGCTACAGTAACAGTGAAAGTGAACAAGTGGGACCATGGGAACTTAAGGGGCCATGCTCTACCACAGCTCCCAAGACGGCTGTGTCATTTGTGAAATGAAGGGCTGGGGACAAGGTACACCCAGACATACCAGCTGGAGATCACACATCTCAGAACAGCAAGCCTGGAGCTGGTGCTCCTGACAAAGTCTACTGATGGGGAAGTCCTGTGCATATGTCAATAAAGCACTGTTGGCCAATAGGGAAGCAAGATAGTGGGACTAGGATTCTGGGAAAGAGAAACGCAGGGAGTCAAGATGTAACTGCCATGGGGTAGGAAGCCCGGACCCTTTTCTCCGGTAAGAGAAATACTTAGATTAACAATTATGGAGTAAATACTTAAGTCAGAGATAGCCAGTAAGAAACAAGCAAATGGCCAACAGCTTCATAATACAGTGTCCTGTGTGTTATTTAGGGACTACAACGTGGCATAGCTCAGGTGACTGGTGGGGAAAAAACCAAAGCAGCTGGCAAGGAAAAGGCTTCACTCAACAGTCTACAGAGTGGACAGATCCTGTGTAGAGCCCCATGAAAGGCAAGGTTGGCTGGATAGCCGAATGGTATACCACTGTCTGATATCCAGGAGCCCTTGGAAGAGGCTCCCCCGAGGATGGAGCAGGTGCCAGTACTGCTCCCTGGCATTTCTGCACTGACTTCCCTCAGGCCAGTTCTGGAAACAAGTCCCACTATGGGTGGTGGCTTGTCTCAGATGCTCTCAAGATGCTGTCTGTGGGGAGTGTGACCACAGCAACGTGATCAGGGGCCCATAGAGCAGGACTTGAGCTCTCTGTGTAGCAGTTTTTACAGGCTGGCCATGTTCCGACACCAGCTAAGCAGGTCCAGAGCTCTAGTCCAGCTCCAGTACCCATGCAGTGAGGAGGGACTGTGCTCCAGGTTAGAGCCTCATCCTGAGAACCATGAGTTGGGAAGTTGGAGACCAGGTTTAGCACTGGCAAATGGCTGTGTAAGGAAAGGGCATGCTGGCTTCCAGACAGGAAGTAAAATAGTGAAGTGTTCTGGGGGGAAACAGGCAGATGCCACATGAGATGAAACAGTGCGTGTGTGACTGGTACTTTTTGAACTCTTGGGGAAATGGTCCACTGTGGACTTAACATGGACTGTCTCCTAGCAACTGCAGTGGAGAACACACACTCCCTGCCTGCTGCTCTAGGACTTGCAGTGAAGGAGAGAGGTGAGCTGCAGCCCACAGGCTGGCATGCAGGAGTTGCAGACAGCAATGTGTTTCTATCTCTTGCGTATAAACCATCACATATGGTCTTTATTTGCAAAAATTCCCAAACTCTCTAAAAACAAAAGTGTTCTAAAGAATGCCCCATTCCTAAAATTCCAACCTTGGTTTCTGAAATGAATACCTTTCAAAAGAGCAAAATTGTCATAGCTTCTTCACCAAGCAACATGCTAAACTTTCTATTTTCTACAAGTAAACAATTAAAAGAATTTCATTTTTTGAGCTGGATATATCTTGTTTTCCCTCATATTCTCTCTGTCTTTGTCTGTCTGTCTGTCTGTCTCTCACTCTCTCTCTCTCTCTCTCTCTCTCTCTCTCTCTCTCTCTCTCTCTCTCTCTCTCTCTCTCTCTCTCTGTGTGTCTGTCTCTTTCTTAAACTTCTGTTTCAAGATGTACTCAATAAGAGGACATGGAAGGAAATGGAAGTCTGACCCTTAAGACTCTGGTGGCTACAGATTTTCAAAGAGATATTTTCTTACAGACAACCCCTTATATTGTGGTTAAACTGTCCCTAAGGCTGAGCCAAGCCTTTTCTTGATGAGGAGGAAGCTGCCTCCTTCAGGACTCAGGGCTGTGCCCCTGGACAGCGCCTGTTTACTGGATGTTGTCACAGGGCAAGAACATGAAGGTGCCCCTCCTCATGTGCGGGTCTCCTCCAGGTATGCAAGTGTTTGCTTCTCGGCCCAGGGAAACCCAAAGCCTGGTGTCCCGCCGGGCCTGCTGAGGTCTTGGCATGAAGACTGGGATTTTGGATGAGGATCAGAATCTATGTCAAAGTTCACCTCAGATCACTGCTGTGTATCATGGCTGTAGACAGAAAACTCAAGAGAAGCTGACTCATTGATCCCACATCTAACAACGGATGCTAGAGAGGTCCCAGCTCTGGCACTGAGCCACCCACGACCTGTGCCACGAAACCCAGGTCACCAGCCCGTAGCAGCTTGGCAGCCCCAGGCAGCAGTCTTGTATGTGAGCAGCTGCAGAGGATTACACTGCCTGTTGGCTCCTAAGGAGACTCACCTGACCACTTGAGCCTCCACTGCCCTGGGAGTCTTGGCTGCATCAGACAGAGATGAGATGTCTGGAATCGCCAATATTGCTGCTCCAGGCCCTGGAGCACCTGCATGTTTGAACAGGCCGTTTCTAAGCAACGGGGAGCTTCAGGCCAGGACACAGGCTCTGGAGCTTCTGCCTCGGGAGCTTCACCAGGGTGAAGCAGGACCATCTGCTCCATGACC